TATTAAAAAAAAAAAATCTGATACCATTGAGTCAATTCCAACTCATAGTGACCCTGTAGGACAGAGTAGAACTGCCCCATATGGTTTCCAAGGCTGTAAATCTTCCGAGAAGCAGATGTGTCATCTTTCTCCCATGGAGCTGCTGATAGGTCGGAACCCCTTCCCTTCTGGTTAGCAGGGGAGCACTTACCCACTGCACCCAACAGCTCTCTACTCTCAAAATAGCCTCCCCTTTCTTCCACCCTCTCATAAGAATTAAATGCTAGCTGTGGTTCCTCTGTTGCCTACTTTTGTAGCTTTGAATGAAACACTTACACAGTCATGCCCTGTCCTACCAACTAGAAACAGTATCTGTGCTGCCCACTGTACAGAACAAAGATTGTAACATTCCTGCCTTTCCTTTCAGCATTCTTTCTCTCCCTGGCTATTTCTGTCTGTACATTTTTAAATTTTACATTGTCAAGTGACAATATTGACTCCATTTTGCATTCATATACAATCTCTGTGCTTTGTGCATAGGTTGATTTCAAAAGCTACAAACGAGTCAATATTTGTAATGTCAACATATATGTTGTTCATTGCACATTGTCTACATAGCCTGGTAAGGAACCCTAAGTTGTTTTCTCTTTGTTTTGTTTCTGCATGTAGAGGCCTCAGAGATAATAATCACAGCTGTAGGTTTTGGTCGTTTCCCTGATAGGCCTGTCGTGGGAGACCCCTTCTGCCTGCTCCAGTGAGAGCTCAGGGCTTTGTCTGTCCTGTGTGTCACATCATCCTGGCCTGCATTCCTTTCTACTTTCCTGGTTAGAGTCTACCACTTACCAGATCCCATGCCTTACGTTTTTCTGGGTTCTCCCCCCTCCCTTTTTTTTTTTTTTTTTTTTGCTGTAGAATGTGCTCAGGTAACTTCCTTGGAGAGGAGGTGTGGTAGATAAACTTACCAGGTTCCTATATGTTGAAACTGCTAACCAGAAGGCTGGCGGTTCAAACCCACCAGCCACTCCTCGGAAGGAAGGTTGGGCAATCCTACTTCCGTAGTGATACTGCCTTGGAAACCCAAGGAGGGGTCGCTATGAGTCAGGGCCGACTCGACGGCAAATAACAACAACAACAACATATGTTGAAAAACGTCTGCTGGCACAGAGGTTAAAGCATCCAGGTGTGAACTGAAAGGTTGGTGGTTTGAACCTACCAGCTACTCCACAGTAGAAAGACATGGCAGCCTGTTTCCTTAAAGATTAAGAAACACTATGGTGCAGTTCTCCTCTGCCTTGCAGGGTCGTTATGAGTCAGAATCAACTCAATGAGATGGGATACAATTCTATACTCTTAATGTGGGCAGTTTGTGCAAAGCATGTCTTGTATTTATGAGTGCATTCGTATGGCCATTGCAACTCTCTTTCTCGTCCACAGTGCACAGGAAATAAAAGAACATTGCTTTTTCCAAGGCATCGACTGGCAGCATGTCTACTTACAAAAGGTGCACTGCTCAGGCTCACTTCCATGCTCTCTTGTTGTCCCCGTATTGCTGGCTTCTTGTCTGTGTTCTGTCCCCAAGAATCCCTTCTCTCGGGCCCTTCTGCCCAGGTGCCACTGTGTGCTGAAGGCCCTTTGGGGAAACTCCCTGCCCTATCACGTCCCTAATAGAAACATTTTGAAAATACCTTCTCTGTAAATTGCTGCATGGTGAAATGGAGGTGTTATCTAACTTATTCACATATCTTTGTCATTGAAACCTTTCTTAATTTTAGCTCACTTTCTTGAATTAGCTCAATACCTGTGACTATGTTTGTCATAGATCTATACTTTTGTCACAGACTTATATGTTTTCTAGCCCAGTACCATGTAATTTGAAAATATGCTTGCTTTTATATAGCAGAATTCCCTTTCCTTATTTCATTGCTTTTAATATTCTTATTGACACAAGAAAACACCACAGGTTATTTTTTTTAAATGCAGGTTATCAAATTTGGAGTCATTTTCGTATGACTAAAACTAGAGGACTGATGATGATTTTATAGGAAAACGAAGCTCATCCTTCGGGCCTGCCTCAGAGCTGAAGCTCTGGTTCAGATTAACATGGAGCTTGGAGCCTGTGTCAGGCTTTGGGTCTTCACTCTGCCCCCTTGAGCCTCCATCTCTGGCATCCTCTGAAAGAGCATGCTTTCTAGAGGTTGAACTTGGGGTTGAAGTCTTGGGGACTTCATTATGTCTAATACTTATTGAAGATATTATTTCCCCCTTAATTTTTTCTGTGCTCCCCCGAGGCTGTTCACTGCATGCACACTTACCTGAAATACACAATGTCGTCTGTGTGAGTGTGCGTGAAATGCTGCACAGAGTGGAACTTGTTGAGGCCGTACACCGTGTTCTTTGTATAGCATATTAGGTTGGGACAGGGCTAGAAGGGGCCTCTGTTAACTGTCCCACTCTTTTGTGGGTCTTCCAGTACCCTCCACCCTTGATTCCACCCCGTGGAGAAGTCAATGCCGCTGACGCCTTTGATATTGGCTCATTTGATGAAGAAGACACCAAAGGCATTAAGGTATGCATGTGATGTCTTCCCTTTTTGGGTGGGATGATAGATTTCCCGTTAGAAATCAGTTAAACCTAATGATCATCTTAGGTTGTATTGGGTTGCTCCTAGCATAAGACTTAAAATGAATGTCTAGATCTTTGAAGATGTATACGTCAAAACCCTGCATTATTCAGAAATAATAGACACTTTCTTTGGACTAATCATTTTATCTTCAGTAAGCTGCACAATGCGCAAATGTTTATTGATTTGGAATATTTGTGGTTGAAATAAAGCTTGAATGCATATCAAGACTCTGATATCAAGTACACACCTCACCTAGGGTGCAGGAGCCAGCCATCTTACTTCTTTTAAGACATCTCTGTATTCTGGGATGAAAAGCAAACAGCATGAGTCATGTTGCATCTGTCAATCAAAGGTGCAGTAATCACTGTTTTTTTTTTTTTTAAATATATAATCCTTTGCATTTTTCAAACTTTCATTCCTGTCATTATTTTTTCCAAGTAGAGACAAGGCATAATTACAGATAGTGAGTCATGGTGGAAAATAATCCTCTTTCAGATCCAAGTCAGATTGTGTCATGACATGTCAGGCTCTCGTCTCCCCCACTTTCAAAACTTCCTCACCCCAAGGCTCCCACTCCCTCCTGGATCCTCTCCTGCCTCCCCAGCTGCCTGCATTTCTACCCTTGTTATGGGGGGCCCCTTGCCTTTGAGTCAGTGGCGACCCCATAGGTTACAGCGTAGAATTGCCCCATAGGATGTGCTTGGGAGTAATCTCTATGGAAGCAGATAGCCAGTCTTTCTTCTGTGGTGCCCTGGGTGGGTTCAAACCGCCAACCTTTAATTCAGTTGTTGTTAGGTGCTGCTAAGTCTATTTCAACTCTCAGCAGCCCCTTGTGACAGAGTAGAACTGCCCAATAGGGTGTCCCAGGCTGTCATGTTTACGGGAGCAGATCGCCAGATCTTTTCTTCTGTGGTTCAAGCCACCAGCCTTTCAGTTAGCAGTCAGGTGCTTCACTATTGTGCCACTGGGGTTCTGTTAGAAGTGCAAAGCACTTGGACCATCCAGGAGTCTCTCAGGAGCTCTGGTGGCATAGTGGGTAATGCATTTGACTGCTAACCAGAAAGTCAGCTGTTCGAACTCACCAGCTGCTCCATGGGAGGAAGATAAGGCAGTGTGCTTCTGGAAAGATTTATGGTCTTGGAAACCCAACGGGGATCGTTATGAGTCAGAGTCAACTCACTGGCTGTGGGTTTTTGTTTGTTTGTTTGTTTGTTTGTTTTAGGGACCTCTTACATAAGCCCCTTTCATTTTTCCCAAGTAGCATCAGTCACCTCCAAAAGGTGGCAACACTGTTAAAAAGCATACCAGCAAGATGTAGATCAAAGGGCAATGGCTAAAATGCAGGGGCCTAGCAGGAGCTCTAACCTGAAACCCTGAAACATGCAGAGCGGGAACCAGATAGTGATGGGGCCAGAAATGGGGCCCCAGTGGCGGCAGGAAGAGCTGGAGACTGCTGGGATGGAGGGGAGATATTGAGAGCAACAAGTGCAGATGGGGACTTGGGTAAAGAAGTGGGTGTCAGGTAGAACTGACAGTACCAGGGAGGAGGGGCTGCGGGGTGTGGGTGACTGAGGTGTTCACAGGTGTTCTTGGTGAAGCACACAGTGGAGAGGGCCACAGCCCCAGGGTTGTGGAGGGGAGCTGGCCCAGGCAGAGATGCTATCTGTAGTCTGGAGCAGTGGCCTTCTGTGGGAGACATTTGCATGACCAGTGCTCAGATCTGCATACCCACTAGATATGTCTGTACCCTGAACAGACAGTATGTTTCAGGTGCCTAAGTGCTACAGTATGGCAGTGTTTCAGGGAGTAATACAGCTACACAGTTATTTTAAAAGATTACAGCTGTCACAATAGATTTTTTATCATTGTATGTGCTAACTATCCATCAATGAATGGGTACTAAAAATAAAACTACTATTGTGTGGGCGCCCACAGAAATTCTTGACGTTGAAATGAGCTTCTCATACTTTAAAATTTTGCAAATTAACATCTAGGCTTTGGAGTCAGACAGACTGTGTTCATATCTGCCACTGGGCCGTGTATATAACCCCATGAGCCTCTGGTTTCTCACCTGTTGCCCCTGTAAGTGTGTTAAGTCATGAATATCTTGATTTCTTAAAACAATAAGCTGCTTGATTGCGACCAAGAGCTCTACAAAAACTTCCCTCTGGTCATCTCGGAGCGTTGGCAGCAGGAAGTGACGGAAACCGTGTATGAAGCCGTCAACGCAGACACGGACAAGACCGAGGCCAGGAAAAGGGCCAAGCACAAGCAACTTGGCCACGAAGAAGGTAAGACAGCTAATGTGTCTCCCAACATTTCAAATGCAACGAATTTCCAAAACTTTTTGGAAAAACTAAAAAGGTACGTAGGTCATAAAGTGCTTTGTAGGAAAGGAAAAATATGTCGTACATGTTTTAGCTTCATCTGGCTAGGATGAACTAGGGATAATATTGCAAAGTCTTTAGTCAGTATTATTAAAAATGCATCAGCGTTTCATCAGTATGCCCGCTGCTTTGGAACTTTTCCCAGAATATTAACGTGTCAGGAACAGGGTCAGCTTCATGGCTGTATGACCTGTGCACTGACACAGGCCGCCCAGCTGGATTGAAAGCCCTGCTGCCACCATTTGTAGAGTCTTAACCATTATGCACTGGGCCCTGCAAAGTACATAGCCTGTCCTGGTGGGGAAATAGGCATTCCATGTCATGGTTGAACAAGCTTGATGGACATAATGTCACAGCATTGCACATGGGAAGATCATTGAAATGGCAGATGGTTTGTTACCTATATATTTGTGACAATAAAGAAATGGTTGGGGAAAAAAAACAGATACAAATACACAACTACATCTATATTACAAACTAGTTGTCCTAGTTTTCATTAAAGACTCACCAAATTACATTTTCATTTAAACTAATGGAACACCTATTAGGATTTCCAAAATCTATATCTTCCAGCAGCCATTCTTGAATCACCACATATGGTCATTGGTCATTCTTGATTTCAGAGGAAATAAAAAGCTGCTAAGATTTGCAAGACTGAGAATAGGGGACCAGAGATGTCAATTTGTAAATGATGGTAACTCAAAAGCAAAACAGGTAATAAATGGTGTAGTTACAGAACTTCCAAGTGGAGAGGAAGTCAAGATGGCATCAAGATAGAACGAACTGTTTTAAACTTTGGGAAAATACTAATATATTGCAGGGTAACCTTAAAGAAAATTAACAAACCTTCTCACCAAAATAAAAAAAAAAGAAGATGATAATAAAGGTTCAATAAACACTGAAACAATAACAATGAAGGGAATGATAAGAAAATCTGTAAACAAAGTGAACTCAGCACAGAAAACATATGGAACAAAGAAACCATCAACACCACACTCACATACAAAACCACAGCAAAATGACAGCAATCAGTTCACACCTATCAGTAATTACACTGAATGTAAATAGAATAAATGTACCAGTCAAGAGACAGAGAGCACAAGAATCGATGGGAAAACAGGACCAATCAACATGCATTGAGACACACCTTAGACACAAAGACAAAAATGAGCTAAACATCAAAGGATGGAAAAACATATCAAGCAAGTAGTAACCAGAAAAGAGCTGGAGTGGCCATATTGATTTCTGATAAAATAAACTTTAAGGCAAAAACCTGCACAAGAGACAAGGGAGGCCATTATATGATTAAAGAGTCAGTCCAACAAGGTGACGTAACCATAATAAATATCTACAAACCCAATGAAAGAGCCCCCAAATGTGTAAATATGCTGTGTTTTCTTTCTCACTTGATCCAAGGGTTTTTTTTTTTTTCTTCTATCACCAAGTAGTTTTTAAACAGGGTGTTATGCAGTTTGCATGTGTCTGATTTTTTCGCCTTGATTATCCTGTTGTTTATTTCTAATTCGATTCTATAACAGAATTGAAAGGAGAAATAGACAACTCTACAATAATAGTAGGAGACATTAACATACCACTTTCGATGAAGGGCCAAACAACTAGAAAGAAACTTAGCAGTTAGGGAAGATATGAAAAAACACAATCAACCAACTAAACCTCATAGATATATACAGAACACTGCATCCAACAACAGCATATTATACATTCTTTTCCAGAGCACATGGAACATTCTCTAGAATAGACCATATGTTGGGCCACAAAGCAAGCCTCAGTAAATTTAAAAACATCAAAATACTACAAAGCATCTTCTCAGATGTCAGCTATAAAATTAGAAATAAACAACAGGATAATCAAGGGGAAAAAAAAACAGACACATGGAAACTGAATAACACCCTGTTTAAAAACTACTTGGTGAAAGAAGAAAAAAAAATCCTTGAATCAAGTGAGAAAGAAAACACAGCATATGAAAATCTTTGGGGCACAGCAAAAGCACTTTTCAGAGGACAATTTATAGCAACAAATACACACATCAAAAAAGAAGAAAGAACAAAAATTGACAATGCAACCCAACATCTCCAACAATTAGAAAAAGGACAGCATACAGTCACCAGAAAAAATAAAGAAGAAATAATAAAGATTCAAGCAGAAATAAATGAAACAGAAAAACATTAGAAAGAATCAACAAGACTAGAGGTTGGTTCTTTCAAAGGGTTAATAAAATTGACGTACCACTGGCAAATTTGACAGAGGAAAAGGAGAGAAGATGCAGATAACATGAGTAAGTAGTGAAATAGCTGACATCACAACAGAACCTACTGAAATAAAAGGGAGATAACAGATTACTGTGAAGAACTGTACTAAAAAAAAATTTGAAAACCAAGAAGAAATGGGAAAAAAATTTGGAAGCACACTCCCTGCCACACTGAAGTGAAAAATTTGAACAGACCCATCACAAAGGAAGAAATTGAACAGGTCATAAAAAATAACCTGCAACAAAAAAGTCCTGGCCTTGATGGCTTCACTGGTGAGTTCTGCCAAACATTCAGAGAAGAGTTGACACTAATTCTACTCAAACTCCACCAGAACATAGAAAAGATGGAATGCTCCTGAACTCATTCTATGAAGCAAGCATAACCCTGATACCAAAACTAGGCAAATACACCACTGAAAAGGAAAATTATAGACAAGTATCCCTCATGAATATAGAGGTCAGAATTCCCAATAAAATCCTACCCAATACAATCCAACAACTTAGTAAAAGAGTGATTTATCATGACGAAGTGGGATTCATACCAGGTGTGCAAGGATGATTCAAAATTAGAAAAACAAACAACATAACCAGCCACATAAATAAAACAAAGGAAAGGACCTCATGATCATATCAATCAATGCAGAAAAGGCATTTGACAAAATCCAACATCCATTCTTTATAAAAACACTTAGCAAAATAAGAATAAAAGGGACATTCCTCAATAAAGTTAAGGGTATATACACAAAACCAGTGGTCAACGCTATTCTCAATGGAGGGAGACTGAAAACATTCCCATTCTGAATAGGAACCTGACAAGGATGCCCTTTATCACCATTCTTACTCAGAACTGTATTGGAAGTCCTAGCCAGAGCAATAAGGCAAGACATGGAAATAAAAGGGATCCAAATTGTCAAAGAAGAAGTAAAATTATTTCTGTGTGAGATGATATGATCCTGTACATAGAAAATCCTAGAGACTCAACAAGAAAACTACTGGAACAGCCAAATGGCAGTGTACAAGATTAGCATACAAAAATTAGTTGGATTCTCTGACAGTAATGAAGAGAACTTTGAAAAGGAAATCAGGAAAACAATACCATTTATAATAGCCACCCAAAAGATGAAGTACTTAGGAATAAATCAAGCGAGAGATATAAAAGACTTATACCAAGAAAACTACAAAACTCTAGTACAAGAAGCCAAAAGCGTTTCTTGGAGAGTATCCCATGCTCATGGATAGGAAGACCCAACACTGTGAAAGTGTCAGTACTACCCAAAGTGATCTACAGGTCCAGAGTCCATCATCATTCATTAGGGAGCTGGAAAAACTAATCACCGACTTTATTTGGAAAGGAAAGAGGCCCCAGATAAGCAAAGCACTAATAAAGAAGAGAAACAAAGTAGGAGGCCTCACATTCATTCCCCAATCTCAAAAACTACTGTACAACCACAGTAGTCAAAACAGCCTGGTACTGATACGATGGCAGTCACGTAGACCAGTCGAGCAGAATTGAGAACCCAGGAGTAAATCTATCCACCTATGGACAGCTGATCTTTGACAAAAGGTCAAAATCCATTAAATGGAAAAGAGAGAGCCTCTTTAACAAATGGTGCTGGCAAAACTCAGTCTCCATTTGCAGAAAAATGAATCAGGATCCGTATCTCTCATCATGTACAAAAACTAACTCAAGAGGCATCAGAGACCTCCATTTAAGACTGAGAACTATAAAGACCATCAAAGAAAACAGGGGTAAACTTAGGGGCCCTCATATATGGCATAAACACACTATCAAACATAAGTAAAAACACGCAAACAGCAGAAGGCAAACTAGACGACTGGGACCTCCTAAAAATTAAACATTTATGTGCAATAAATGACTTCACCCAAAGAGTGAAAAGCGAGTCTACAGCCTGGGGGAAAAAAAAAAAAAATCGTAATAGCATATCATGCAAGGGACAAATCTTTAAAATTTATTTTTTTAAAAAAAACAAAAACCCAGCACTTCAACACCTCTATAACAAAAAGAAAAACAATCCAATTAGAAAATGGGCAGGGGACACAAATAGACATTTCACCAGAGAGGATATTCAGGTGGCCAACAAACATATGAAGAAATGCTCATGACCATTAGCCGTTTGTTATTGTTGTTCGGTGCCATCAAGTCAGCTCTGACTCACAGTGACCCCGTGTACAACAGAATGAAACACTTGTCTGGTCCTGCCATCCTCACAGTCGTTGCTGTTCCTGAGCCCGTCATCGCAGCCACTGTGTCATTCCACCTCATTGAGGGCCCTCCCCTTTTTCGCTGACCCTCCACTTTACCGAGCATGAGATCCTTCTGCAGGGAGTGGTCTCTTCTGACAACATGACCAAGTAGGTGAGATGGAGTCTGGCCATTCTCACTTCTAATGAGCTTTCCAGCAGCTCTTCTTCCAGGACAGATTTGTTCATTCTTTTGCAGTCTGTGGGGGTATTTTCAGTAGTCTTTGCCAACACCGTAGCTCAAAGGCATCAACTCTTCTTGAGTCTCCCTTTCTTGTGCATAGGAGGCAATGAAAAATACCAATGCTTGGGTGAGGCGCACCTTAGTCTTCAAAGTGACATCTTTGCTTCTTCATACTTTAAAGCAGTCTTTTGCAGCAGATTTTCCCGGTGCAGTATGACATTTGATTTCCTGACTGCTGTTTCCATGGGTGGAATTGGTGAGTAGCAACTGGAATCTCAGTAGGTTGTGAGCAGTCGTATTGGTCTCTCCCCATCCGGAGCAAAGAAGGGTGAAGAAAATCAAAGACACAAGGAAACATATTCCAAAGGACTAATGGAGTATGCCGACCTCAGCTTTCATGACCCTGTGGCCAGAAGAAGTAGATGGTGACTGGCTACCACTGCTGACCACTCTGAGAGGGATCTCAATGGAAGGTCCTGAATATAGTGGGAGAAAACTATAGAACAAAACTCAAAATCATAAAAAAAGATCAGCCTTACTGATCTGATAAAGACTGATGGAATCCCTGAGACTGTGGCCCCGGGTCACCCTTCAAGCCTAGAACCAAAGTCACTCCCATGGCTCATCTTTCAGCCAAAGGATAGGCCTAGAAGGTGAAGCCTGGTGGTTCAAACCCACCAGCCACTCCTCAGAAGGAAGGCTGGGCAGTCTACTTGCGTAGTGATACCGCCTCGGAATCACTAGGGGTCGCTATGAGTCAGGTCCGACTCGACGGCACATAACAACAACAACAGAAGGTGAACAGTAACACCAGGGAGGTCCACACTCCTTGGAACAGTCAACCAGGCAAGATCCAAAGGGCAGCATTTGCCCAGGAATAAAGCTCAGAAGGCAGGAAGGGATGGGAGAGAAGGACGAATGGCAAAAGGTGAACACAGGGAGGAGTAGGAAGAGTGCTGTTACATTTTGGGGATTACAGTCAATGTCACAAAACGAAATGTGCATGAATTTTGGAATGGAAAACGAATTTGTTTTGTAAACATTCATGCAAATCACAATAAAAAGTTAAAAAAAAAATCTTAGCTCATATGTGTTTAAAACAGAAATAGTAATGAACTCTGTAATTTGTTATATTTCTGGAAACAAGATTTTTCCAAAAAGCATGCATTTCTTTTTTCTTTTTTTCCCCCCCTAAGAATAATGACTGTTTCAGAACCTGTTTCATCTGTGGTTCTCTTCCACACCTCAGATTACGCTCTAGGCAAAGACTGTATCATGCATGGGCACATGCTGAAACTGGGCAACCCGTTTCTGACTCAGTGGCAGCGTCGATACTTTTACCTCTTCCCGAATCGACTCGAGTGGAGAGGAGAGGGCGAGTCTCGGGTGAGTCAGAAGCAGTCTTACCAAGCACTTACTTTGAGTGTGTTCCCTGTCATACAGTTACTTTGCATTGCTGGTATGTTTCCTAGATTACTCCCCTGAACTGGGTAGCCATTTTATCTTGCATATATGAGATTCTAGCATTCACACTTTATTTAGCTTTGAAACATATAAGCCCAGGAAGAACTTTGTCCTGTGTGAAAATGGAACATTGCTTTTTCCTGGGGCCACAAGCTCCCCATCGCCAGGTGGGTTTGGAGCGGGCTGGAGAGCAGCTGGTGGTTCACAAACCAGAAAACCGGAGACCTGGGATCAGACAGAGATGCTTCTGTCCACTGCTCACCATCTCTGAGACCAAGCACATTACGTTGAAGCCTTAGTTTCCTCTTCTGCAAAAGGAGATAAACGTGGCTGGAACAGAAATCCTCACAACCACTCCACCATTTTCACGTTTTGCATGTGCCACGTGCTATAAAAAAAAAAAAAAAAAAAAAGTTCATTAGTCTGTTGAGCAGCCTTGGAGGGTCCCACCCCCATTTTATAAAGTAGAGCCCAGGTTGGTTGGGCTGTGCTCTCTGGGTTGCATTACATGAGTCTCCCCATCACGCAGCCTCCCTGGTCAGGTCACATAAAATAAGGTGAGGGGCATGGAGTTGTGACACTAGTGCCAAGGCAAAGTCCCCAAATGTCACTTCCTTTTGTCTCCACCTCATTGGACACTTTATAGGTTGGTTTCATACATTAGACAGGAAGATGTAAGTGCTTTTGTGAGAGCTGATATGTGTAACCAAAGTCAAAAGACATTTCTGATTCCCTACTAGCCCTTCCAGCAAGTCAAGCGGCATTAATTAAATACCTACTCTGTGAGGAGCATAGCGAAGGAGCCACCATGGGGGAAGGCATGTTTTCAGCTATTGGGGGAAGGGAAGGAGGTTAGTCATCTTAAACAGGACATGAAAACATGGTTCGTACGTTGGAACACTGACCATTGGTTCTGCAGTGTTTGCAGAAATGTGGAAAGGAGTGGGCTCACAAGTTGTGTTATTTGACTTGGAATCTAATTTAAATCCCAGTTAAAGTTGCCACTCAGTCACGAGTGCTTACAATGGCATATTACCCCACTTCTTCAAAGAGAACCTGAGTCTCCGCCCTCCACCTAGTGTTAGAGAAGTCATTGGTTTTGAAGTTATGCATGTAGGATGTGAGTTCCCATTTTGGTTACCTTTGTGGCACTCTAACAGGAGATAGCACAAATGGGATGCTTGAACAAACAGGAGTTTATTCTCTTACAGTTTGGGAGGCTGGAGGTCCAAGTTCAAAGTGTCAGGCTCTAGGGGCTGGGTGAAAGCCCCTCGACCTTGGGCTTCAGCTCTGCCTCCTGCTACCGGCCCACTGAAGCCGGAGGCTTTTCTTCACTCAGGCAGCTGCTGGCTGCTGAGGCTGACAAACCCAAGGTTGACAAGTAAAAAGGCATGTCCCAATATTACTAAATGACCATGGCAGGCCACTAATCAAAGTCCAGAAAAAGTCCCAAGGTCAGCAGGACATGGCAGGCTGCTGAACAACGACTTGGCTACATGCAGGATTCAAGCGTGCCAAAAAGTTAGAGACCTCCTCGTAGTTACTTCTCATAGCCTAGAAGCAGACCACATCCCTAAAGCACCTACTCTGCCGCTTCAGTAGGTTCAACCATGGGGTTAATTACCAGTTTCACCATGGGGAATGACTACATCCAGCTGCCCAGCACTCAACCAGGCCCAGCCAAATCAACACGTGACCTTAATGACCACAGTTCTATTGCAGGCAGCTTTTTGGGGACCTGAATTGTCCCTCAGGCTCTGGGAGTATGATGCTGGCTCGGCAGAGCTCAGTCTGTGTGCAGGTAATGAGCAGTTCTGGAGAAATCACGGTTATCGTCCTGCATCCTGGCGAGTCACCGTTCTGCACATTGAAAGGAAATGGTCCCACTTTTCAGAATCTTTGAAAGCTTACGAGATTCTAATGGAGTGTAAGGGGGGAATTATTTTTCCCTTTGATTAACATCTGATGCAACAAGTTACCTAGGTTTTAAAAGATTCAACCCACAGTGTTGTATTTGAGAAGATACATAATACGCATGGCTGGATTCTTAAATAGTACAAAGCAAGCAATGCAAACTTGAGAGTTGATGATGGTGTTGTTTTTCATTTAGGATTCCTGGAGTATTTATCCAAAAAAACATAAACTGGTAAGGTACTCACAATACTATGGCAGTCACCCTAAGAGGTAATGC